TAAGTAAGATTTTCATTTGTGAAGTAATTAATTTGATTTGGAGAAGTCTCGTTTTCTTTGTAGTGACCGTGTACGTTAATTATTCATGTCGCCTTGGTCCTTTTCTGGATCCCACTATGGTGAGTTTTTTTACCATTATATTTTGTTCTGTTGCAAAATTTTGATTTCCAAAGTTCTCTTTTGAATTTGGTTGCTGGACTCTTTGTCGAGTTTCCTCCCAAATGTTCAGGAGGTCATGATTGAAATCGTACAAACTAAATCCACTGGCAAATTTCCGCATGACGTAATCATTCTTAATTTAAATTGTATTCTTTGTAGGTAGCGGGAATTAGACGTCAGTTTGGGCCTTTTGCAACACACCATGCCCTACGAGAAGCTGTGCAACAGTTGCTGAATTGCTCTAAAGATGACGCTGTCGTTCTAAATCTCGTACAACCAGCTGCTGTAACTCAGATACTCTCTGTCACTGGTGAGATTTCATCCTTTATTTCTAAAATAGCCTTGTTTATAATGCAAACACAGCCGAGGTTGTCCGCAAAATGCTACTACGGCCTCCCGCATTTTATAACCAATTAGACGTGTGCTGTTGCGAGATCTGATATGTAATTTGCAATTGCACTACATGCGCTAATAAACCATATCTCTCAACATGTTATTTGATAGACTACTCCAAGTTTTAGAAATCACATTGAGACATTGTCGTCACCTGTTCTGAGTCTTCTTTTCAGCTCATTGTGGAGGGACCCCACGATCTCGTTTTATTCCTTGTGTGAAAAGCTCCGCTGATGCATGGACCTACATAAAGCAACTGTTGAAAAAAGTAAGAACATTTTCTCACTTTCAAAATCCCGATATCATCTTCTATAACAGTTATATTTAGATGAAAGTGTGCGAAAATTTCTATTCGAGCTCGCCAGATCCTTGCACCAGCTGCTCTCCCGGAAATGATATGAGCGTAGAACAAGGTAAACGATTTGTAAACTTGAGATTCTAAGGCTAAAGTAGCGTTTCAGTAGTAGCATTATCTCCACCGATGAAACACTGGACCATTGATAAGGTGGCGAGCGAACTGCGCAAGTTGCTGGATGAAAGTGCCGTGGCAAAATTTGTTGAGCAGGTAAGGACAGATTTGCGGAATTGGAAATGCTTATATAGTAAGTTTTGCGTTTCCAGCAAATTGATGGACGTTCGTTGGGATTGTTAACAACAGAGCTTCTAATGAGCCATATGGGTCTAGCACTGGGACCGGCTCTGAAAGTAAGTTCTGAACTGCACATCTGAACACGAGAGTGAAACAGACGGGAACTTTACCTCAGTTAAATCTCATTCTTTGCGCACTGCATAGATCGGTGAGAGATGATGCTGTTTTTTTG